AAGACTCTCTGAGAGACTCTGGATATCCCCTCACATTTACCTCAACACTTTCAGAGAGCAGTGGCTGAGCTGTGGACCCAGCCGAGGCTCTGCACTGAAGGCAGTGGCCCTCAGATGCTCCCCACTCTGCCCTAAGGTTCTTTGATTCTGGCTCTGGAATCATGAAGAAAACCAGAGGTGGTGGGAGGGGCCCAGGGTGTGTTCTGGGTCTCAAGCACTGTGCCATGGGCATGAGAAGCCTGATTCCAAAGGCCCCTAGTTGTCAGAAATACTACTTATTCTTGTTAGTTTGCCAGAGAATGAATGATTTCAGCTTCTGGTCTCTCCACATCGGTCATGTGAGCCTGTCCACCAGCTTCTGTCGGGCCCACTGTATGCTTTCCCTGGGATTCAGTCACTACCAACACAACTGGCGTAAATTAGAGATTTTCTCTCATTGCTTTATCAAAAACATAGGACTGTCTAGCCTCCTGTACCTTAAATAACACTCAACCATATTTCAAAGAAATCCCCTCAAATAAACGGATGTACGTCTGTTCGTTGTTTGAAGCTCATGATATTCCAGTGTTGATGTTCTTGATGTCTTTAACCATTCATTATGGATGGACATTGCTTTCCCTTTTTACATTGCTTTGGAGAATTTCACACATGGATACGATGTCTCCATGATGTCTCCCCTCTTTCCCTGCCTCCAGCTTCTCCCATCCCCCCGGCTTGCCCCCAAATTCATGACCTCTTCTGTGATTGCTATTGCTGTATATGTGTATGGGTATATACATCATATATACGGACACATACATAGACACAAACGTAACCTAGTGAGTCCGTCTCCTGTTGCTCATCTGTGTATTCACCTACGGCTGACCGCTCGGGACTGGATAACCCATCTGAGGCCTCCTCCCTGGAGAAGGCTGGTTCTCCCTCTCATAGCAGCCATTGATTGTAGCTCTTCATGGAGGAGTGGACACTTGAAAGATTTCCCACGTACACATTGGACTGTCCGCTGGTGTTTTCCTTGTGCAGGTCTTGCTTAGGTGACCATCTTATTATGGTTGTCATGGATCTACTTACCTAGCAGGGGAGATACCACAGTTGTGAAGGCGGTTTTCTCAGGGCAAGGCTTACCCATTGTTTTTCAGATGTTCTGACTCCTGAAGTTTCCCCAATCTTGGAAACTTGACTGCATAATGTGTGATAATGAGGAACTAGGTTTATGCTCTCCCTGCTAATGAAGATGATCGACAGTGGTGATGATGATGGTGGTGATGATGGTGATGGTGGTGATGATGGTGATGGTAGTGATGATGATGGTGGTGATGATGGTGATGGTGGTGATGATGATGTTGGTGATGATGATGGTGGTGATGATGGTGATGGTGGTGATGATGATGTTGGTGATGATGATGGTGGTGATGATGGTGATGGTGGTGATGATGGTGGTGGTGGTGATGATGGTGATGGTGGT